GGTCTTCTTGACGTTGCGTCCCGGTGGCCCTCTTGACCCGGGTCACGTTCTCGCGCGCCGGCACCCCACTTATTTATTTTCTTTTCAATTATTTTCTCTCCGCGTCGTGCAACTTGTGACACCACCTTCCCCGACGGTCCTTCTCCCTTCGGGGGGAAGTGCCGCCTTTGGTAATTTCTTACGGTCTCTCGTCGCTCGTCGTTCCACTAGTTTCTCCTTAGTCCAGTGGCTCCGGCACCTCCGGGCAACCTCTAAATCTCTAGCTGCCAGTACTAATGCCTTTAGTCCTCTTACCCTTCTTGCCTCCGGTTTTTTCTGTCGTGCACAATTCCGCGGTATACCGCCTCTCAATGGGGAAGGCTTATCTCGGGACCCACCGGTCCCGACACATTCCCCCCACTCATTCGCGATGTCCTTATCGCGCATTAGTCCTTAGTTAGTAGGGGTTTTTGGAGGGGTAGACGGAGGTGAAGAGGGAATGGGGTGGAACAGGTAGTTAGCTTGCCAGGGTTCTTTTTGTCTTTTTCTTGTTCCTCTCTCGGTATCTTTTAGTCTCTGCCCCTTGGGGAGGAGGAGGGTGTGGAGGGTCGAGGGCCTCCCTCGGGCTTCCTTCTTCTTATTCCATGCCAGCCAGGTCAATTTTCGGCTACTGTCATTCTCAATGCCTCTTTCATTTGGTCCTTCGGCCCGTGCAATCCATGCTTTCCGTCACTCTCAATGCCTCTTCCATTTGGGTCCTTCGGCCCATGCAATCCATGCTTTCCATCATTTCCAATGCCTCTTCTATTTGGGTCCTTCAGCCCGTGCAATCCATGCTTTCCATCATTTTCAATGCCTCTTTTATTTGGGTCCTTCGGCCCGTGCAATCCATGCTTTCCGTCACTCTCAATGCCTCTTCCATTTAGGTCCTTCGGCCCGTGCAATCCATGTTTTCCGTCATTTTCAATGCCTCTTCTATTCGGGTCTTTCGGCCCGTGCAATCCATGCTTTCCGTCACTCTTTCCTCAAGCCAAATTCACATGCATTCCTCCTAGGCTATTTCACCCGGCCTTTCTCTAGTCCTGCCAATTTCGCATGCATCCCTCTTTTTCACCCTTTTTTGCATCCGACTTAATTATCTTCACATGCACATTACTTGGTCCATTTCATATGCATCTCTCTTCTTGGCATCTTGTCGGACCCCTTTCTCAAGCCCATGCAAAGCCAATTACACAAGTCCTTTCTCTTTTGGGCATCTTGCTAGGCCCCTTTCTCAAGCCCATGCAAAGTCAATTACACAAGTCCTTTCTCTTCTAGGCATCTTGCCGGACCCTTTTTTCAGGCCCATGCAAAGCCAATTACACAAGTCATTTCTCTTCTGCATGTTTTTTCATCGGTAAATGGCACACCTTCCCCCCACTCAAAACGCGATGTCCCCATCGTGCGACCGGTTCTCACTCGGAGGTACGCAGACCTTTCGCCCGCCGACCACAGTCAAGGACACAAGCCCATCTGCTTCACAAAGGAAGAGTGATCAGTTATTCCCCAGCGGGTGACGCCTCATCCTCCTTCTCGGTCCGACCTTTCGCTATTACGCGACGAGCACCATTACTGAGGTTCTTCCTTACGTCCGGCAGGTAGGCCCAGTCCAAGCCTCCCAGGGCCTTGCCTAGCCATAAGAGCTTCCCTCGCGAATCGTTCCTCCCGAGTGGTAATTTTTCTGGATCCGGCCTCTTCCTTTCAAGAGAGTTGGGGCTCTCAATTAGTTCGCGAGTGCAGTTACGAAGACCTCGCGGTTAGTCCCGAAATGGTTGTAATGTTCCGGCAAGGCGATGTCAATGCCTCGTGGTGGTGGCGGACTCCACCCGGTACTTCGCCCGACCCCTTCCCTTGGATAGTGCCGCCCAACTTAGCGCGGGCAGCCGAGGTCCGACCCAAACGGCCATGCCACTCCTCTATGGTATGACATGTGATTGGAGAGAGCAGAAGAGATTAGAATAAAAACGACTCTCTCGCCCATTTGGTTCTCTCACCCTTTGACGTTTAGGCTTTCCACACGAGGCGCAAATTGAACTCCCCGACTAGAGCTCATTGTCGGAGTTAGTTCTGGACGGCCAGCACCGATCCAAGGGACAGGTGCCTTGATCCTTTAACCCTCATCCCCTTTTAAGAGGAACAGGTCGCGCTAAGACTTTTTCCTTAGAAGGATAGAGGTCTTGGGGTCACGGTGCGGGCACCGGCATCCCCCTCCTGCTGAGGCCAGAGACTAGAGGAAAAGAAAAAATCTTTCTCAATGTCATTTCCATGGTCGGCCCGACGACCTTTCTTCCAAATTGCCTAGGGTCCCCTAACTTATGCAATGCAATATCAAATTTTCATCACTCAATCCAATGTTGTTTCTGCTCTTTCTCATGGCTGCTTCTCATGGTTGGTCCGACAACCTCTTATCAATAAGGCCACCCCTCGTGACCGGTCCGGTGGTCGCTTCCTCAAATAGCTATTTTCCAAGGCCGGACCCGTCGGCCCACCTTCAATCCCCAACTTCCATATTTACAACATCCCATCCTTATGACCGTCCCAACAGTCTATGCCCTTCTCGTCTTGAGACCCGTCCTTCTCTATCCTGCCCTTCTCTTTCCAACGCGTCGCTCTCTTTCATCCATCCTCATGGCTATTTCAATGACCGACCCACCTGACTTTTCCGTTTCATAGTCCTCATTCCAGCTCTTTCTCAATCAACATCTCTCAATCTATTCCTGCAGGGGACCCCAGTGCCTATTTCAAAAGAAATGACCCTTGTCAGGGGCTATTTCTGAACAACCTGGTTAGGGTCGTTTTTTTCCAATCTCAAATTGAACAGCCTGGTTAGGGCCATTCCTTTCCATTTTCAATTCGAACAGCCTGGTTGGGGCCATTCTTATCCATTCCAATCGGTCGGCCTTGTCAGGGCCGTCCTATTCCATTCTAGTGTTAGCGCCCGAGGAGGTGGGCCTCGAGGACATGGATCCCATCTCTGTCTTGGGGGTTAGAAGGTGGCCATCTTCTTGGGTTTTTATGCATGCCTTTTTCTTTGTCCTTTGTTGACAACATTCATTTATCCATGCATACATCCGACTTAGCGTCTAGTGCTCAAGTTGAGGCTCGCAGCCCCAAGCAGCACTAGCCCACCCGGTCGTTCAACCATAGCGAAGGGAGTGTGCATCATCACTGTTTTCTCTCTTTCTGACCTCTCATGCCTCTTCTTGTTCTAGACTTGTCTGTGATTGGTTGGATTAGGCTCCTAGGGAAGAGGATCCCTCACGCCTCTTTGCCCATAAGTCCCCTAACCTCTCACAAAGACTCATGTCATAACTAGTCTATCCGAAAGTCAATCGCACATTTTTACAAAACATTTTTGTGATAACTTTTCTCAATCCTGGCAATCCTTCCACTTTTTGCTTTCCCAAAACAGAGTCGCCCATCCCATCTCAGCCTCATTGATCCTCAAATTTTCCAAAGGAGCAAGTACTCATGCGAAGTGGCACTAGCTACTCAGTCCTGATTCGCTTGTCAGTCCAAAGAGCAGTGTGTTGTAGTTTTCTTCTATAAATTCAAAGAACAGTTTCACAATCTTGACTCATTTAAGTATCCCCTTTCCTTTTGCTTTCCTTGAATAAAGTCGGCCTTTCACAGCTCTAGCCTCAAGCTCATCGATCCTCAAGTCCTTCTGAAGCAGCAAGTACTTATACAAAGTAGCACTAGCTATCCAGTTCTTAGTCATTTCTAGAATAGAAAGTTGTCCCGTTGTAGTTTATTTCTAGTAATTCAAATGCAAAAATCAACATCTCAGTTTTGTCTACCCCAGGTACCCGTCCTCCCCTTTTTATGGCTATTCCTTGTTACGTCCATTGTCCCCTTGTTGCTTAGTCGCCTTGTGTTGGGCCTCCCTTGCCCGAGAATCCACCTCCCTTTGAATCCTCCCCTTCGTCCTTTGTAAGTCCACAAGAGCCCCTTCCGTGAAGAAGGTTGTTGGTGTTATGTCTTCCCCCCTCCTCAACTTTTCTTGTACTTTCGTTGCCCAATCGTACCGCATGATACTAGTCCACCGGTCAAACCAGTGGCTACAGGTTGGCCCAAACTCTCTTATCCATTTATCATTCTCGTCCTCTGGATCCTCATCCCTCGCCCGTACTTCTTCCGTTGGCCTCGTGACTTCTTCGGCCTCCTCCCCACTACTGAGGTCTATGACCTCGTTGGGTTCTTCCTCGTTCGATTTCTGCCTTTTCCCTGGGCTCGTATTCTCCCCCTCACTGCTCTCACTCCCAAAGGAGACATATATCCCTTCCCCTTCTCTAAGGGGTGAGGGCCCCCTGGTTCCCTGCTTTCTTCCTCCCCTTCCTACAACCAAGTTAAAGTCGAACCCCACGTACAGTTTTCTCTTCTTGGTGTTTGGCTCCCCCGTTGGTCTTGCCCCTTGTTGCTCGCTGGGCCTGTTGATGAAGTTGCTGTCATTCTCGTTCCCGAATTTCATTTTTGTCTTTCTTGCGACTTTCTTTGTCCCTGGTCCTGTGCATACATAACAAAAACACAGCAGCCCCCATACACACACATTCCCTCTCATTCTCATTGCGAATTTGCAGGCTTACTCCCCAGAACCCTCGCTCAATCCCGTGTGATTGGTAGCCCTCTCAAAGTGACATCGTAGGCGGATGCTGCCATTATCCCACAAAAACTATGACACATTGCCCCAACACATAGATACCCCATATAGACACTCTCACCATTACCCCACAAAAACTATGATACATTGCCGCAGAGCTCCCGACCCTATCCGTGTTCAACCCAAGCAGCCACCCCATGCCCCCCAAAAGAAGAAGACACAAAACAAACAACTCCTGCAGTCATGATCACTTCCGCAGAAGGACGGTGCATGATTACGGTCCAGCTGCCTGCCTTTTCAAGTTGTCAATTGCCCTGCTTCCTTGTCCTGAGCTTCTTGCAACCATTGCTCCATCGGGTCCCGACTCAGAAACCTGACCAACCTTTGTCCCGGGAATGACCCTTTTAACCCAGTACCATCAAGATCCTCAAGTTCAAAGGTATTCAGCCCCACCCACTTAGCGACCCGGTAGGGGCCTTTGAACCTTCTTCCCAGCTGCCCAGACCACATGCTTTCAAGATCCGAGTTCCTAACTAGTACTATTTCCCCCACCTGGAGCAGCTCCTTCCGGATGTTTTTGACCTGGTCCCACCTTGCTTTGTCCCTCATTCGGCTATCCATCACACGCTTAACAACATCCTCCAAGGCTTCCTCATTTCTAAGGACCTGTTGGCATCGTGCGGTGATTAGTTCCTCCGTAGACATATGCGGATTGTCATCTAGCCTGTTCCAGGTGGGTACCAATGGTTCCACCGGGAAATCAATCTCCCTTCCATACCAGAGTTCTACCGGAATGCATCCCGTCGTCCTTTTCGGCATCATGTTCTCTAAGAAGATCGCCTGCTTAAGGTACCGAGGCCAGTTCCTGAGGTCATCTGCTGCCAACTTAGCAATTGTGTTTTTCAAGGTCCGGTGCCCCTTTTCTACAGGTGCATTGGCCTCAGAATGATATGGCTCGATGATCTTGATAGGTACACACAGCATCTTAAGCCTGCTTAACACTTCGTAGTTTACGAACTCCGTCCCATTATCCGTTATGAACCTTCGAATGAAGGGGTGTCTTAGGTAGAAGTCTTCTATCCAGTCGGCCACTCCCTTCCCCGTCTTTCTTTTAAGCGCCACTGCCTCTACGTAACCACTGAGGTTGTCTTTTGCATCCAAGATATACCTGTATCCGTCTGTCGATACGTGCATGACTGCGAGGTCAAGATGGATCAGATGTCCCGCGCGGAACTCCTTTCTTGACATATCAGACACGTTTGACAGTACGTAGCCACCATAACCCCCATGCCTGGCCAGAAGTAAAGCGGCGCAATTTTTGCAAGGGTCCCTTTCGATGACCGATGCCCTCCGGCTAGTCCATCATGCATTGCCTGAATTACGTCCAACTGCCTAGACCTTCCGCACACAACTCGCCTAGGTGTCATTCCTTCTTCCCTCTTGAACAGGTGGTCGTTCCTCAAGACATACCTCTCAGCTTCCTCCCTTGCCTTGAGGCTGACTTCCGTAGGCTGTTTGTTACCTACAAGTAACAGACCGATCTCTAAAGATACCATCATACATCTGTACGAGGAAGAATTTTGTCCCTCCAGATTCGTATCGTGCTTTTTTTGAGCCTGACTCACTAGATAACGCAGCTCACTTCGTGTCCAAGATTCTACTAGGCCCATTACGGCGTCCCGACCCCCTTCAACGCCCATCGCCATCAATTCCTTTTTCGGCCCCACTGTTGCCCCCCACGAATCCTTTTCCTCCTTACGTCTTGTCATGGTGACTGACCCTTCCCTAAGTTCCGCAACTACAGTAGGCGCCCCTTTTTCCAGGGTCTGAATCACCAACTGTCCTGGTATGCAAGCGAGGCTCATCATCTCATTATCTGCGACGAGGGTTCCTCCTTCGTATTCTAGGAAGGCGTCATTTGCTTCCACATCCTCTATTCCCTATGGTGTGATGCAGACCCGACTTAGCCCGCCTGCCCTGTTTCGGAGCCCCGCAATTCGCTCGACCTTGTAGTCGAACTGCCAGATAAAGCCTATCCATCTCCCAACGGTCGGGTCTATAGGCTTATAGTTCTTTAATGCCCCGGCGACATTGGTCGGATCGATTCTCGGGATAAACCGTCTTCCGAATAGGTATGCCTGAAAGGTCTTAAGGCAATGTAGGATGGCTAAGACCTCTTTCTTGAACTGGGAGTATCGCCGTTCTGCAGAATTCAGGGTCCTACTCTCGAATCTGATAAAGCCTTTCTCTGCCCTCCTCGCTCCTTTGTATCAGGACTCCTCCTACCGCCAATGGTCCTCCATCGTTTTCCAGGATAAAGGGTCGTCCCATCTTGTCGTTGAAGCAGGGCGTTGCCAAGGTGACTTGATCGGAGGACAGGATGTCTTTGAGGGTCTGAACCGTTGCTTCCCTATCCTCGGTCCATTCCATAGTTCCTCCATTCCTAATCATCACACGGATGGGCTTGGCTATTTTGGCAAAACCTTTGATAAAGATCCTCCAGAATCCAACCATCCCTAGGAAGGTTCGTACTTCCGTTGTGGTGCGCAAGGGTGTTGGCCATTGAGAGATCTTGTCCGTCTTTGTCGGGTCCGGCTTCCTCCCATAGGCCCCACAGCGAAACCCTTGTATGGTCAAGTCTGGGACCGCCAAGATGCTCTTTGATCCGCTTGCGGTGATGTTATATACCTGGAACCGCTGGAGTAGGTCCTTGATATCCTGTAGGTGATCCCAGACGAACTTTCGAACCCCCGGCTGGACCTCCGTCTCGTCTTTGTTCTGCGCGCCTTTTATGGGATTGTCGTCTACATACGGCTCGCATTTTTTCGGGAACATGTCCCCAGCTACCGCAAGCATCCTCCTTTGTGCTTCTGCCACAGCGTTTGTAAAACCCATAGGGGTCACTTGCATTTGCAGCTGCCCTACAGGGGTGTGCATGGCGGTGTATGGTCTATCCCTGGCATCGAGCGGCAGTTGGTCATATCCTGAATATAAATCTATCAAGGAGTAAATGCTCCGGCCAGCGTGAGATTCTGCCAGCAGATCGGCCTGTGGAAACGATCGTGCATCCTAGATTGTTACCGCATTCAACTTCTGGAAATTATGGATCCACCTGAGCGTCTTGTTGGGCTTCCGAAAAACAAACCACTTGTTCGCGTAGGGGGATGCGGTGGGTTCGGCCACGAACGAATCTATCTTAGCTCTGAGCAGTTCGGTGACCTCTGCTGCCATTCCGAACTCGTAGGCAGACCCTTTGTCGTTCCAGCACTTATGTTCCACTGTGTGGATCCTAACGGGGGAAATTAGCTTTGCGTCCAACCGACCTTTCTGGTGGTCATTGAAAGCAAAAGCTAAATGAAACTCCTGCCATGCTTTCCTTATCAGTTGGGTCTCTTCCGCCGTCAGGAACCCATCTACCCCTATTTTCATGGTGTCTGCTACCTGATCGGGTATCTGATGCCCTTCCGCTGCTCGTCTCTCCCTTATTACCCGCAAAATTTCTTCCTCTTTTTCCATGGCCTCCTCCTTTGATGTCTCCACTAGAATCGAGACCGGCTTGGCTTTCTTCCCTACTGGCTTGTACTTTTGAACACTTCCTTCTGGGATCGTTCGTCTAAAAAATGAACGGTCGGAATTGGCCTTGCTGCTTCCGCGACGCGGGGTTGAATACTGACTATCTTCCCGTTCAAACAGTAGCCCTTTCAGACCTTATCCTCGAATTTGGCAAGCGCTGTCAGGTCCACCTCTACTTTGTGGTACTTGATAGCTTTAACGAGTTGTAACAGGTCCGGGATTTCGAGCGTTACCCCCGACGTTTCCTTCCGACCCTCCTTCGCCTTGGGCAGGCTGGCCCCGAGTTCAACTTCCGGCTCCTTCTCTGCCACCATGATCCCTAGGACCTCGTCTTCTTGCCTCTTTTTCTTCAGAGGCAGACCCATCTTGATCCATTCCTTTTTGCTAAAGGCTTCCTCAATCATGATTTCCACTCTTTCTCTCATACCTTCCATCCGGGCGAATGCTTCTTTTCACGCACTATCTTCGAACGTTGGTGACCAAGTTGCCAACTTCCCCTTCGGAGGGTCCCCTCCGGTCCCAAGGAGTCGGAGGAGCTCTCCCCGGCCGGTCACGGGGTCCTCTATATCTACCATGTACGTGCCATCGTGCAGGTGCATGCTTATGATTTCTACGTTGGCGCACCATGGTCTCCCAGGGATTATGTCGTGGTCCATTTCTTCCATCACGGTCATCCGCTGAAATGACCAGATCGACTCCCTGATTCCTGCCTTAACTGCGCATTTCGTGATGCACCCTGCAAAGGGAATTTCCCCACCGGCTCCCCGGATACTCCCTGTCACTTCCTTGTTTATCGTACAACCCGTAATTGTTGTGAAGTCTCGTCGTATGAGGGTAATTTCCGCACCTCCGTCCACTAATGCGTTTGTGTGATGAGCCCCGATCTGGACTTTCAACTTTCCTACAGGTAGTGCATGGAAGCTGAGCTTCGTTCCGGGAGGTGCCCTCATAACCTCGCTGCCTTCTCAGTCAGGTAGGCTTAAGCGGATGTCCGCAAAGGCCTCTTCTGGGTCTTCCAGATCCCCTGGAATCCTCTGGAGGTTGGCGACCCCTTGCGGTGCCCCAGCCTCCTCCGTTCCCTGTTCCTGTGGTTCCGGAGTCTCTTCTACCTCTACGCGTCTGCGTGTTAGCAATTGCCTGAGTCCTTTAAGCAATCTGCTCAGGGTGTCGTCGATTTCTGGCATGGTCAAGATCGAAATTTGGTACCTGAACTTCTTCTTTGCGGCCGTGACTTTGTCTATCGGTTCTTCCTCCCTAGCTTTCCCGTAAACTTTCTTCGGCTCCCTGGTCTTGGGCTCGCCTTGATTTGCGCTGGTTCTCGCGACCTCCTCCATTACCGTATCTCGGATAAGTTTATTTTCCGCCCCTGCCCGCCGCGTGGTGATGTTCACCCTGTCTTATCCATTACCTTCTAGGATGAAATTGACTTGTGCTCCACGCCCCCGCTGCTGGTCCCAAACAATGTCGGCTACCTGCTCGGCTTCTACGACGGCTATATCCAGGTTACTCAGGAAGATGACGGCACGCCGCATCCCGCCTGGCGAATTCCAGTTTATTCGCTCCCCCTGGGGCCCGAAAATTTTGCCTTCAAGGGACCTGCTGCATCTCTGTCTCATAATATCATGGTTGAGTCTTGGGCACGTCCGCACAAAGTGACTGATCATTGTGCAATATCGGCACTGCTCATTGGCCGGATCTTTTCTGTCGTATCCTCGGTTGGCTACTGCTGCCGGAACTACGGCCTCTTGGGGCGGGAGGGCGGGGCGGGAAACTTGCGCCTGCATTACCAATAGTGCATTTTCCACTCTTTCTATCTTATTATCGACTCCGTGCACCCGTTCGTGCAGACCTTCTATTCCCTTCTTCACCTTGTCTCTCGTCTTTCCAGTCAAGTCTATGACCTCTCCCTCCTTGAACAAGGCTAACGTCTCGGTTACCACCGTCTTCTCCGCGAGGTCTGTTACCGTACTGAAGTCTACGTCCCTCGTATACTCAAACTTGCTGGTCTGTTGATAGACCGACAAAATCTTATCCTTGTCGAATTCGGAGAACTGTCTAAGGAAATACTTGCTCATGATCCCGTCCGTTACCCCGGGAATTCGTAACGCTACTAGGGTAAACGCTCTCAGGAAGTCGTTGTAAGTCGCATAGTTCTTCCTCTATACGGCTGCCAATTCGGCTTCTATTGCCATTTTCTTCGCCTTTAGATACTTCCTCATCATCTCATTTCGGGTCTCTTTCCAAGATCTACTGGCGGCGACGATGGCCATAATGTCCCTCCCTAAGCTTAGTGACACATGCTGCCCTAAGTGGTCCATCTTTTCTTCCTCACTCCATTTCAACAAGGCTGCTAGGCTCTCGTAGTCTATCAGGAATTCAGTGATGTTCGCCCCATCAAAGGTGAGCGTCTTCTTGGCATCCGCGAGGTAGCCCTGATTTTTGTTCAATGCCCGGGTGAGGGTGGATACTATTTTCTTGAGCCCGCCCTCGGAACTACTCGTTTCACCAGCCGTACTAGTCCCCTCTCCTTCCTTGCTATCCTTCCGCTTTTCTCCGGTTGTTGCTGTTCCCTCCGAGTCAAACCACCCTAATACCCTTTCTCTCAAACCCCAAAGTCCGTCGCACCCCTTCATTATTTTTGGCGCGGCAGGCAAGCGGCTAGCACCACTGTCTATGGCAGGTGGGTTTGTAGCTTTCTCCGCTTCTACAACCAGGGAGTCCCCCTTTTCCTTCCCTTTCTTGCTAGGTGTCCCCCTATGGCTACTATCCTTCCCTCCGTGCCTGATTTCGCCCTGGCTAGTCCTGCGCTCTTCTCGTAGCTCCTCTCCTGGAAGGTCTCTTTCGCTCCCAGCCACCATTTCTTCAACAAGTCTCGCCTTATACTCTGCGGTTCGCTTTTCTATTTCTGCCTACTTACGCCGGGCATCCGAGACTTTCGCTTTCTTGGCTATGATCCCATCTGAGTTTCGCGGGCTTGTCCTTTCCTTGTCCCTTCCTTCCTTATTCTCATGAAATCCTCGTTTGCTTCCCCCGGCCTTTCCCGAACTTTCCCCCGTCGAGAGATCCTTCCCGTCTTCCTTGGTCCCCTCCGGAGTTGCTGATGCGCGGTCCCTTATTGACCCTTCGTTCCGTTCCACGCCCCTCTCTGTACCCTGACTCCCCTTGCTTTGCAGGTTCCCAGCCTCTTCTTCCGACGCCATCCTTTCCTAACCCTGCACATGGGAATTTTTTTTGCGAAATGGCCGGTCGTTCAGAGCTTCCCTAGTTCCCAGGTCCTAAGGTCCTTATCTTTGTTATTTCCATATTTTCCCGTCTCATATCAGCCATGACGGCTTATCTGACGTTTTCTTATTCACCAGGGCGCAACTTTCCTTTCCTCTGCTGGAAGGCTCGCTGCCGAGGTTCGGCGTTTTGTCACTGTCGTGCCTCAGTTTTAAGGCGGTATCCCGGGTTGGCGACTCTCTACTCGAAGATGGCTCTTTTTTGCCTTCCCGACTCCCGAATACCCTCAGCGTCCTTAGCGGTGGTGGCCTTCCCGGTCCCGTCCTTCCGTGTTCTCAGGTAGAATAGGACTGCGACCACTACCTTCCGTAGATGGTTAATACCTCATTTTAATTTCCAGCTTTTACCTTCGCTGCCTTTTCCCGATACTTTCTCACGTCGGTCCCTCATGCCTGTCCTGTTCGTCAGACTCTTCAAATAGGTTAGCCACCCCCGCAAGGTAGTTTTCTCCCATTTCTATCTCTCCGATAATTATTGGTTCGTACTCCTCAAACGCCAAGCGTGGTAACCCGAATATCAGGATTTCGACGAGTTCAAGTAGTTCACGGGCCTGATTTCCCCAGAACGGCCTGTGCCTAACTGACATATCGTAAAACATTCCCGTGGTCTGTGGCTGGAAGTGGTGGATCCAGACTAAGGTTGGGTCCACCAAGTCTTTTGCCCTCGAGAGGCTCCCGAATACCAGGTCTACCATGAAACGGGGTACTCGGCACCGCAATCCTGTCATCGGGCCCCTAAACTCTCGCCATCCTCCTACCTCCACCCGAGTTCTTAGTCCCACATTTCTTCTCTCTCGAATCTCCTGGCCTATCCGGTTCACTATCCTGGCAGCCCTTTGGAATATTGGCAGCAACCCATGTCCTAGTGCCATCTTAGTTCCTAGCATGTGCCACCCAATCTCTGGTAGGTATACGGTCCCTGCCACCCTCAATTCAGCATATAGATCGTCCTCTGGTCCCCTATTGAACCTCATACCCCTCCATAAACATTCTACCATCATGAAGGTCTGGTCCCTTCCCAAGGTCACAACTCTCCATTCCGTGTTGATCCCTCGAACCAAGTAGCTTGCTGGAAGTGACACTTCCCATCCGTTCCTGTTTTCCATGGGCGGTCGAGAGTGCGTGGGTCGTCGCGACATCCGGGTTTAAACAGCCAGCGAACTCTGCTTATTTCATCCATTCCTTCGACCACCACTTAGGCAACTCCCCAGTCCTTAATCCGCCCTCCTTTTCTTCCTTACTCCTACCTTCTTTCCTTTCTCTTTTTACTGACCCGTCTCCTCTTCTGATGGCTCGTACAGCCGGTTCAGATCGTCTACGTAAATCAACCCCTGGTTTATTTCTCGTCGGACGATGCCCCATCAAACCTCATCGTTAACAACTGAAACTTCAGGCCTTGTGGTGAACCCGGCGCGCAGTATTCGCAACACCGTCGAACGGCCCCATTTTCAGGAAAACTCGGTAGTATTCCCGGTGGACCACCGCCTCCTCAAACGTCAGGTTGGCGAGGTCGGCCACTGCCCGCCTGACAAGATCCAGCCCGCCTAGTCTTTCTAGTAAGAAGGGTGGCAGCCTCATTCGAACGTTCTCACTAGGCAAATTGAAACTCCCGGTCATGGACACCCTAAGGCTCGCTGTCACGTCGTCGAACTCCGGATCTGGGAACTCGAGCCCCGCCTGCCACACTATCCGCCATGCTCCTTCAAACATGCTTAGCGGATCTTCTCCTGACGCTAGTAGGACTCTGAACGAGCGCCATCCATCCTCTGATAAGTACAACCACCCTTCCGCGCGGACATGTCCCTGCGGGGGATGATTCCACTCGCCATTCTCATCCGCCCGCCACTCAACCTTGGTTACCAGGAAAACCGTGTTTTCCATAAGCTCTAGCCCAACCCAATCCACCACTGGGTGTCGGGCCTCACTTACGGTAGGTAGGCTGATTTCTACGCCGCCAGTCGCTTCCCTTGGCGGCTCAATTCCCAGCGGGCGATCCTCAAGGAACGTCCTCCTTCGTACCATTGTGCGTCCTCTACCCGCCTTCGATCTTTATCCCGTGGCGCCGCAACGATCCCTACAATGGCCGGACACCTGAATCCCAGACTTAGTACTTCTACCCCTCGAGGGTTTGCTTAAAATACATGTTCCCCTGTCTACGTCACCCCCTAATTTTTTTCCTTTTCCCCTTCTTTTCTCCCTTTACCCCCTAGCTTACCCTGCTAGTTCGGGCTTTATTCCTGCTCCTAGTCGTACCACGTTACCTCGAATAGTTTGAACACATCATCCACATAGCAAGGTGTTGCTGCTACCTCTCTGCGGATTATGGCTTCCCTGATCTCTGGAGCTACCTCTGGCCGGTCGCTCCTGTCCATATCCAAAATGATGAGGACCTCCCGGGCTCTGTCGCTGTGGAAGGGCCCAGATTTCAACGATGTTTTATAAAATTCTTCCGTCAGCCATGCGCAATTTACGTGTACCCGCCTCATAGTGCTGGCCACCTCCGCGACGTGGTCAAAGCCCCCAAACCAGTCCGCCGTGAACTCGGGTACCCAAATCTTGGTTCGCAGGCAGGGAGGCCTAAACTCCTTCCATCCCCCCATTACGACCTTACTACGGACCACGTCCCAGCTTTTGTTGGCAAACCTCTCGCCTGCCTTCCGAGTCCTCGCCTCGGCATCCCCCAGAAGCCACATCGGACTTTGTCCTGCCGCGAGCGTTGTGCAAAATAAGTGCCACCCTTGCTCAGAGAGGATGACCGTCCCGACCGATTCCACCCTTCCTTCCGCAATCTCTTCCCATCCTTCCTCTTCTCTTAGAGGGTTCCAGACGCGCTCTACCCACAGGTATGATAATTCCGACACAATCTCAAGTCCAACCCAGTCACATGTGGTCCCTCTCCATTCATTATCTGCTGGTATGGACATCTCTACCCCCCCTTCGATTCGTCTCAGCTCCCATCCTTTAAACGTGCAGTCCCTTAGTTGTAGTCCCCTTGCCATCCTTGATCCCCTGCACAGCCCCAATCCACCCATGCCATACAACCCCGAACCCTTTCTTTTAGAAATCTCAATCCTCAATCTCTACCCTCTCTTCCTCATCCGAGTCGTCTTCGTCCTCCTCATACCACAAGTCCTGTACCCCTTCCAGAAACGTCTCCCCTATCGCGACATTCCTATATACTATCCTCCAATGCACGTTGCTCGGGACAAACAGGCCGTCCATACTAAGATGGTTTAGCATCGTGGCTAGTTCCCTCGCCCAATTCCCTTCGAACGACCCCTTCTCGACAGATAGACGAAGGAAGTCCTGCCGGACCCCTTGGTATAGCCCCAGGCTTGCCATGGATCTACATATCCGCACCAGCCTGCTCCGGGTTCCGAAGACGGCGTCCACCATGAAAGGCAGCATGACACACCTCAAGGTCCTAAACGGCTTTCGTACGTTCCCTCTATCCCCAAGTTCCACCCGTACATCAATCGCCTCCATCACCATTTCCACCCGCTGGCACGCGGCCCACACCACTTCCCGCTCAACCTCCTTGAACAACTTGTACGGGAGTAATCCTAAGACAAACTCTATAATCATGGCGTTTTCTTTTTCCTTAGACAAGTAGACCCATCCTCGGGCCTCCACCGTCCCCCCAAACTCTAAGTCCAGCAGGCTTGGCGCTAACCTCGTCAAACTAACCTTGGTCCACATTGTTTCGATCCATAGGAAGGCATCACTTTCAACCAGCATCACGATTTGGTATGCCGGCTCCAGGTCCGTCCAAGTCCCTTCTTCCGGCATCACGACCGACACCCCACTCCTTACGTCCACCGACATTTCTGGTCCGCCGGAGTAGGTCGGCGAGGACAACCACCGTGCCATCTCGTCCTTCCCCAGTTGCCGAGTCCTGCTTTTTTAAAGAGAGCACCAATCGGCCCTCGATTAGGTCAGCCGTAGTCCTCGATGAGAATTGTTTTAGACCCCTCATCAAGGTCTCCCTACATTTTCCCTTTGCCCATTTCCCAAGTACTGTCGCCCTGCCGCACCCAAAGTTGGTCACCATCCACCGTCATCCCTTCTCTTGGTTCCTTTCCTTTCGACTCCTATCCTTGCTCTTTTCCATCTTCTCTCACTCGTGCGGACTTAGATAGGGGGCGAGAATAGACTTAGAAGGCTCGGTTCCTTCCCAACAATCCCAAGAAACTTTACAGAGGGAGGCACAAAAGAAAAAAATATCAGGCAATCCTTGCACACAGGCCGGTCATCTCCTCACCGGCCTTTTCCCAAAAGTGGTCTCTCCACTGTTACTATCGTCAAAGTTTTATCCCGTACCTCAAGCACAGCTCAACCGTCGCGAGCGTGGTACCCAGACTCTAGTGGGGGGACACCCTCGCCTTCTTGCCTAGAATACCCCATCCCGTCTTGCCGCTCTTGCACACCCCCGTTGACACCGGGAATTACCCCGCGTACTCGGTGGGGACAAAAATCAGCCGTCCGGGCATTCACATCCATCGGTCCGATAAGAGTCAGCCTTTACCATGTTGTATCGCGAGAGGCTACTAATCGCCTCCGGAGCTCCCTCCGGACCCCACATGCGGCGGTCTTCCCCCCGTCTGTCAACAGGTCAGGCCCCACCTGAGCACACGTTTCGCATCCCGCCCGGGCAAGGCGTCAAGCCAAGCTCGGACCCACCCGGTGAGAATGCTACTGATCAACCGGCGTGCCAACACCCGCCCAACGGTTCGGTGGCGTGACCTTGCACATGAAAGCCCGGCGGCCTACCCGAAGAAAACGACGTTTCGCAACCCGCACCAGTCGGTGCAGACCCACCCTTTCCTTCCGAAATGGCAGGACGTTCAATTCCTCATTCATGCAAACCACAAGTCCCAAGTGGGACACACACAGTATGTCACTCACCGCTTCCCATGGTGCTCCCAACGCTTCCTACCCATGCCTCACCTTTTTCTCTCGGGATCGTGTGTGTCACTCACCCCTAGTTTCCATACATCGTGCCCAGTTCCTTTTCGTGAGCATCTTCAAGGGTGAGTTAGTTTTCTTGGAGTCTAGCACCTCCCTTCATTCCCCTCATCTTTACTTGTGTGTCCGTTCATAGGGCGGGATTGTTCTTTTCTCGATTACCGTTTTGTTCATATGAGGTTCCTTCAAGCATTTCAAGTGAAAGTGCAAGGAGCCCGTTGGGCTACGAAGAAGAGAGAAGAAGGCACCCGTATCGGTCGGATCACTCCGCCGCGGGATTGTCATTGGAATCCGGCCTAGGCCAAGCACCAACCGCCTACCAGGTAACCGGAACCCTTCTTTCACACGAAGAGGAAGGGTCGACCTGCGGCTTGCCTAAGGCTTCCCCGGACTGACAAACATCAGCCCGAAAGAAGTAGGACTAGAGTCACCTCCCAAGGAGGTGGCTAACCAAGTGTGCAACACGCATGTTATTCCTCCAGGCCTGGCCTTGCCATGCGCCCAGCCGCCCTCAAATCTGATTCTCTCAGCATACAGAAGTCCTCGTTCCTTATCTTGAGTTATGTTCGCACACATGTGTCGGGCGGCCCCCCTGGGGATCGTATGGGTCAATTTAACCCATGCCCGTCACCTCCACCATTTTTTATAGGGTAGTACCCTGTTAGACTTTCGAGCCTGAGTCGGCCCCTTTGCGGGTCCCATTAGGCTCGACCTACCCATGCTCACGCTCAATGCGCGGGTCGTTCGTCACAGGGGCACCCCCACCTAGTGCTATGAGATGGATGGGGATGGGTCATTTGCAAGAGGGCATTACATTAGGGATGTAGCTCTGCTCTCGTACTAGATGGTAGCTTTAAGGTCACTTGCGGTGTTTTCTCGATTCACTTAGATATGGCCAGGCAATTGCTCCTTCCAATACACAAGCAGTCCAGGGGGTTCATTGGGAATTTTCTTATTTTGTGCGCAGGCCAAGCGTCATCCTTGGGCCACACATGTTTTCACTAAGCACAACAATCCCTACGGCATCATCGGGAGCGGCGACGCCGTCCATCCCTATTTTTTTGCTTGACACACGCATAATATTCACATATCCGTCGCTAGCCCTTAGTCTTTCCAGGCTTTCACATTGCATGCAAAGAGTTGAGACACACATTCATCATGCCGAGACAAACCCTCTTTTCCTTGCCCTCTTCCCCATGCGCTCTACACCAAGGCCCACCCGCATCGAGTTTTACACTAAGTCCGTGGCCTTCCCCGTCCGATCCTCATGCTTCCCTTTTGCTTGCAAATCCGGACCCAATCCCGCTCAAGCCATTTAAGCTACTCACCTGCACAGTCCCACACAAGCAAAGACCGATATAATCCCCCATTGGGGTTAACACATTGCCTTTCCCGCAAGCCTAAGTTCCTTTCCCCCCCAAGGTTCCTTCAACTTTCCCTTCCCCTCACAATGAAGCCATGCATTCTCCTTAGTCATGCAGTCGGGGGAATGGTTGAGTCAACTGACCTGGTGCCAAGCTCCCTTCCTTTCGCTTTTCTCGCCTTCCCAATTCCTCCAAGATTTCCCTTTTCTCCTTCTTGGTGGCGCAAGGGACCGGCAACCCTTCCCTTGCCCTCTTTCTCCACCAAGTGAGGACTGCTTCTTTTACCGTTCGTTCCCTGGCAATGTAACAAGTGAGGGAGTTAGTCACGTGCCAAGAAGGAAGAGGAGGGGGAGGATGAGGTGGAGCTTCTTAACGAGAGAGAACGGGAAGGGAGAGAGAGACGGAGAGGACGAGAGAGAGGGAGAGGGAGAGGGAGAGAGGGAGAGAGAGACGGAGAGAAAAAAAAGAGAAAGGAGGAGAAAGAGATACCTAATCACTAATCAACCTCACCCCCTAGCGTGTCCTACTGTCCTACCTAATGTCCCTTGCGCTCTTTGGTGCCCTCCTTGCTTACGACCTTCGAGTGAAGGAGGACGATGGGGGAGGGAGAACGTGGAAGGTAGTTGGCTATGGTGGATGGGTGAAGGAGGTGGTGGAGGAAGAAGGTGGAAGGTGGTCGGTTATGGTGGATGGGTGAAGGAGGTGGTGGAGGAAGAAGGTGGAAGGTGGTTGGCTATGGCGGATGGGTGAAGGAGATGGTGGAGGAAGAAGATGGAAGGGATCGGCTATGGTGGATGGGTGAAAGAGGTGGTGGAGGAAGAAGGTGGAAGGTGGTCGGCTATGGTGGACGGGTGAAGGAGGTGGTGGAGGAGGAAGGTGGAAGGTGGTGGGCTATGGTGGATGGGTGAAGGAGGTGGTGGAGGAAAAAGGTGGTTGGCTATGGTGGATGGGTGAAGGAGGTGGTGGAGGAAGAAGGTGGAAGGTGGACGGCTATGGTGGATGGGTGAAGGAGGTGGTGGAGGAAGAAGGTGGAAGGTGATCGGCTATGACGGGTGAAGGAAGTGGTGGAGGAGGAAGGTGGAACGTGGTCGGCTATGGTGGATGGGTGAAGGAGATGGTGGAGGAAGAAGGTGGTTGGCTATGGTGGATGGGTGAAGGAGGTGGTGGACGAAGAAGGTGGAAGGTGGTCGGCTATGGTGGATGGGTGAAGGAGGTGGTGGAGGAAGAAGGTGGAAGGTGGTCGGCTATGGTGGATGGGTGAAGGAGGCGGTGGAGGAAGAAGGTGGTTGGCTATGGTGGATGGGTAAAGGAGGTGGTGGAGGAAGAAGGTGGAAGGTGGTCGGCTATGGTGGATGGGTGAAGGAGGTGGTGGAGGAAGAAGGTGGAAGGTGGTCGGCTATGNAGGAAGAAGGTGGAAGGTGGTCGGCTATGGTGGATGGGTGAAGGAGGTGGTGGAGGAAGAAGGTGGAAGGTGGTTGGCTATGGTGGATGGGTGAAAGAGGTGGTGGAGGAAGAAGGTGGAAGGTGGTTGGCTATGGTGGATGGGTGAAGGAGGTGGTGGAGGAAGAAGGTGGAAGGTGGTCGGCTATGGTGGACGGGTGAAGGAGGTGGAGGAAGAAGGTGGAAGGTGGTCGACTATGGTGGATGGGTGAAGGAGGTGGTGGAGGAGGAAGGTGGAAGGTGGTTGGTTATGGTGGATGGGTGAAGGAGGTGGTGCAGGAAGAAGGTGGAATGCGATCGGCTATGGTGGATGGGTGAAGGAGGTGGTGGAGGAAGAAGGTGGAAGGTCAAGTGTCCCGGTCCGCCCGTCTACACCTCTCCGGCCTCCGGGCACAAATCCTAGCACTAATCCTACAATAGCTACGCAGAAAAAACACAGATTTGCGGAAAACACAAGTTCTGTGGAAACCCACAGATTTGCAGAAACACACAGTTTTTGCAGAAAACGCAGAATTTGCAAATTTGCCGTTTTTCCGGCACTTTCGCCGTTTTTGCCTAAGTGTGGAGGGCCCAAAAACACAGGTCTGTATTTCCTGCCCCAAATGACCTCAGAATCACTCAAAACTTGGTGGGCTCTTTCACTGTACCTCAGGGAAGGCCTCTGCAAAATTTGAAGTGATTCTGACGCCGTTTGTCCGTACTTTCCTGTTTCGAGCGCCGTCCTCCTTAAGGTGAACAGTTCGGGGAGGTCTGTTTTCTGATTTTTCAGAAAAAACGGACTCTGATGGTCTGTCGGGTCTGCAGGCCATCTGTTTATGCCTAGAATATGAGGTCTGAGAAATCTCAGGCCTCATATTCCCAGGTTTGACAGGTCTGTCATAGTGGTGCCCCCAACTCATTTTGGCCCATTTGCGGTTCTCGCGGCGGTCTTGTGTCCGGGCGACAGGCCACTTGCTTTTTCTTACAGTAGAAGACGTCTGGCTTGGCCAAACCTTATCAGCAGCTAAGGACCTATAGCCATCAGAAAATGAGGCATCAACAGTAGTCTAAACAATTGAAAAACAGCCTCCTACCGACTTCTCCATTACCGCGCTTGAATAGAACACGGAGGGGGGGGGGGGTGAAAGCATGCGGTATTTGAATAGAGCACAGGA